AGCACCTTTGCACTGAGCTACAAACCCAGCCCCTTCTCATTTTTACTTAACTTTGGGATAAGCTCTTTCTAAGGCACTAAATTGCACAGGCTAGGCAACTTGTGCTCCTGCTGCTTCAGCCTCCCACAGTGCTGGGATTACAGGCCTGGGTCAACCCAGCCAGCTCCAGATGTCTCGAGGCATTTTTCAGAAGTGAGAATCTTGGCTTTGACACAGAAGCAGGCTTTTCTGCTTTTCTGCCTCATTGATGTCTGATCTTCACAGCAGCCTTGGGAGGTCCTCAGAGTACGGCACCCTGGCAAGCTCCATGCTGCCAACTGGCTCACCCTCTGCTGCTGGCCTGGGGCTGGGTGGGAGAAGTCTGGGCCTTCGATGGGAGCTTTCACCTTCTCTGCTCTGTTCTTCACCCGCCTATGCCCCGTCTCAGGGAAGGGGCACAGAACTGTCTACACTCTACTCCTGCCACCATGCTGTAGGGAAGTCATTATCCTTTCTCAATACAGCACCGCACCATGACAGCTACTTTCCTGCTTTTCCAGTCCCTCCAGGGCCACACCCTCTGTCCCACCCCAAGGGCCTTCACACACCCAGCCTTTTCTCTGTGCCTGGCGCATGCAGGTGTCCAGCAGCTGCTGCTGAATGGCCTCCCCAATGGGAAGGCGGCTTGCAGGTCTCTGTCCTGGGCAGAAGGCATGATACCAGAGTAGGGACACTGGGGGGGGGGTGTCCTGTGTTGTCTCTGCCTTGTACACCTTCTGTGGCATATCCAGCCCTTCCCCCTGAGTCTGTCCATTATAATAGTATATCATTCTTTTGGTATGTGTGAGGGCTCACCTCTTTTTTTTTTTCTCTTTTCCTTTATGAATCCAGCAAACATTTACAGGAGAGAAATTCAGTTTTTTTAAAATTTAAAATATTTATTTATTTGATACAGGCTCTCACTACACAGCTCAGACGTGTAGTGATCCTCCTGTTTCAGCCTCCCCAGTGCTGGGATCACAGGTGTGCACTGACATGCCCAGTTTACCGCAGCAATCCTTTTCAAAAGCCTTAATTAAAAAACACGTCCTTTGGCTCATAAACTAACTTCCAGATTTATCCTGTGGAAATAATAATGGCGAAGTACAAAGCTTTGTCTTATTGGATGTTGACAGCAAGATGGATACCTCCGACCAGGTCTGGTGCCAGCATTTGTGTTTCCATAGCAACCTGTACCTCCTGGATCCTGGCAGGTGGTTCATGCTCTAGTAATTATTTGTTGACTCCTCTGTTTCCTGCACTGGCTCAGAGTTCCCTGAGGGCAGGAGCCTTCTGCTGGGTTCACTGTGGCATCCCCAGTGACTGGCATCTACATTGTGGCATCCAGAATTTTTTTGACAAAGGACTGGCTGGTGACAGAGAGGCACTGGAGAGTCTGAGGTTGGATTTTTCACTTTGGCAAGATGGCTCTGGTTGGTGTGTGACTGGAGAGAGGGACCTTGTAGCAAGAAGTCTGGCATGGAGCTCTGCTGGGGTTGAGGTAGGAGATGTTGAGGTAGAGCCCAAGCATGGCCCTGAGAGCAGAAGGCATGGAATGGATGAGACTCCCCAGGAAGAGCAATGCTGAGATGTGGGGCCACTTGGTTAAGTGGGGTTTTGGGCGGGAGCCCCAAGTACTTCCTCACCTGGTTCCCTGATGCTCTGCAGGTTCAGCCTCCTACACAGCTAGTGTCACCAAGCTCCAGGCTCATCACAGTCCACTCTGCCCCTGTCTGGCCCTTGTTTCAGGTGTTTCTTGGCTGCTTCTGGCCTGGCTGCCTTTTGGGCAGCACAGAACCCTCAGTCTGTTGGCCTGGCCCATGCCTAGGAAGAACAGCTGAGGTACAGAGCTACTGCTCCCATGCCACCTTCTCCTGGGACACTAGCCTGTAACAGCCACCTACACAGAGACAAACAGTGCAGGCCCTTTTTCAGTCCCCAGTCCTGGATTATAGGTCTGCAAGGGTCAGCCACTGGTCACCTGGATGGGGCCTGGCTCAGGAGGGGCTGGGATAGAGACAGATGAGGGCAAGGCTGGGCCAATACCCAGCAACTGGGAGGCGCCTCAGGCCAGAGTCTCAGCTGAGCCTAGGTGTCTGTGGAGTATGTGGTAGGTGGGAGCAAAGCCCAAAGACCAGAAATTTGAGCCCAGCCTTCACAATTTAGCTAGCATGTGCCTCAAAATTAAAAATGGCCTGAGGGTGTACAGCTCAGGTGGGGACATCCTGGGTTTAGTCCCTAGTACTGGGGGAAAAAAATAACTGGAGCAGCCCTGTGCATTGGGCAAGGGCTGGTCCCAGGGAAGTCACCCAACTCAGGCACCTGCTCACTGAGGGCAGTGGTGTTGGATGAGCAAGACAGTTGGGGAGACCAACTTTGCTCCCTGGTATCTCTTTTCTTTTTTGATACTGGGGATCAAACTGAGGACCTTGTGCTTGCCAGGCAGGCACTTACGCCACTGAGCTATAGCCCGGTCCTCCTCTTCTCTTCTCTTCTCTTCTCTTCTCTTCTCTTCTCTTCTCTTCTCTTCTCTTCTCTTCTCTTCTCTTCTCTTCTCTTCTCTTCTCT